AGTTTAATATGTATACACGAAAGCTGGTGTCAGTAATATATCATCTAGTGTCAAATGTAAGCCGTTGTATTGAGTGTCGCTGCTGTGTCGTTCCGCTTCAAATGAAGTGAATTGATATCCATTGAGCGTGGCAGTCCTTTGTATCTTTTCCTATATAACAACCAATAACTCTCCAATCGTTAACAACTCTGCTCCTGACCTAATATTTGGCACAAGCTTCACTTAAATAGGCCTACGGGTATAATTTGGATATATTATAGATATACCAGGCTCTGGATTTTTTTTTAATATAACAAAACGCACACGCCTATTTGAACATGGCAAGGGGCCGTGTCATTACTGGATTGCTTAACTTACTTTTCACCTTCCAAGCAAGTAAGTTGAAATAATTCTAGGCGTTCATCAGATATTTTATTTAGCCTGTTAAATAAGTAATTTTGTGTTTTAAAAGAGCTTGATTAAACACAAGAAATGTAAAGTAGGCATATCTTAGTTGAACTGTAGGTGGTTTACACTTGTCATCTTAGAGTTCATGTATAATTAGATGTAAGTTTAATAATAAGTGCACAGTCTCAATACCGACCTCCCTCCGGACCGGTTACGATGTTCGGTTTCCGCATTGTGAAACATATCTATTGAACCCTTCCCGAACAAGGCTGTTGTACGCTAGTTAGGGCATAGCCGCTGAAATAGGCATAGCAAAGCCCCGTGGGTTCGGTATGACTAGCTACGAAATAATATTATTTACCATACTGTACCCATAATCATCAGTCGGCTTTCGCTTTACAGCATAACGTCTCTGCGGATGTTGATTCAATTATTTTGTTCTTAAACACCTTCAGTATTAACTTATATATACGCTACAACAAAAGACTATAGGAGTAGTCGAAATATTCGTTACAATAAATGTTAGTGTTTCTGAAGTCAACAGTTTACGTACATGAGTATTGGTTACCAGTACGCTGTAACACATCTTCGAACGATACTGTATATATAGGCCTAAATTACACATCTAGATGTGTATAAGAGACAGCCTCAATGGCCTGAATGAAAGTTTCTAAAGCTGGGCAACGATTCTTAGGGGGATTCCAGGTACTTTTAGGTTTGAATTTGGTAACATTGCCCGTGTTATCCGTGGTGTTGCCGTCGGAATCAGCGAAAAATTCACGGCATCTTAAACGTCGGAAGAAAGCTTCCAGATCCAAAGATAGTTGTTGTGGGTCA